TCCTTCCAGAAATATTCCAGGCCTTTGCCTGTTTACTTTAAATAACACCAGCTGAGAGTGTCAACTCCCTAAAATATGCAACATGATCTCAGTAAGTTTTCTTTTAACATGAAAAACTTTGTATCATGAAATCTATGATAAATTAATTATTCCATACTGGTTTAAGTCTGATAATATCTCTGAGTCATGAATTGGGCTTTCAAATGTGAAATAACTCGAAGCCAAGTGACATAAAGTGTACCTTGCTTCATATGGCTGATTCATTCTGGAAAAGTTATGAAAATCTATTTAGGGTGTTTGTTTTATTTACTTAAAGTGAGATATTTCAAATTGAATTACAAAAACTGAAAATACAACCTGTAGCTTGAGGAAATTGTAACCTGGTGCCATATTTTCTTCAAATAGTTTTGTAAGGAAAGAAAACATTATCCATTCAGTTGAGAGTCATTGTGTTCCTCTTCTCTATCACATTTCCCTTCCTCCTAAGAGTAACAGTAATCATGAATTCAGAGCCGATCACGTCCATGCATTTTTTTTAACTTTTACTGCCCCAAATCAGTTTTTCAATGTCCTAGACTATGCTGTCCAATACACTAGCCACTATCCACATATGGCTATTGAGCACGTGGAAGGTGACTAATTTAAATTGAGATGTACCATAAGTATAAAATACCAGATTTCAAAGAATTAGTTAAAAAATAACATAAAATATCTGATTAGTAATTTTTATATTGATTATATGCTGAGTGATATTGTTTTGTGTATGTTGAGTTAAAGAAAATATATTATTAATATCAACCTCACCTGCTCTTTTTTCTTTTTTAATGGTGAGTATTATATAATTTTAAATGACATATATGGTTTGTATTACATTTCATTGGACAGGGCTAATTTAAAGGAGCTTACAAAGGGGACTCTTTGGTAAAGGCAAAGATCATCTCATTAGTATTTTATGTTAACCTGGTTTTTCATTTACTTAGACTTGCCTAAAATGAGAAATGTTTGCATTTGCACTTACTTTTTGTGTCTTTAAACACTTGCCTGCTAAAATGTTCCAGGAGTGTGACCTAAAGTCCTTTACTCACTCACATAGCAGGAATTGCACAAGTCAGATTTCTCCTCTCACAACCAGCCAATGGATATTAAAATCCTGGTTTGTTTTAGCTGAAGGGATCTTCTAGAACTACCCGCCTTTCTTCTGTTTACCACAGGTACCTGAGACTGAAGAAGCAGGGGCCTCAGTGATGTGACAGGGTGGAACCCAGGTCTCCTCAAACTCCCAAATTGACTTCCTGGAAATACAATTTTCCTTTTTCATTACAGCAATTTTAGCTACTTGCATATTATTAATCAGCAGCTTAATGACTATTGACTAATAATTAGAACTCAAGATCAGAAAGTCAAGTAGGCAAAAATATTTTTTTTCTTAGATGTTGTTCTATTTCTGTGGGAGAACCAATATCATTCATAGGGAAATTTATAAATAACAGAATATCTGGTGCTACTGGGCTGTGTGTCAAGGGTGTATTTGAGGGGGTGGAGGGCATAGGACACTGGGCTGAGAAGAAGACCTTGGTTCTTAATCTAGAGCAGCCACCTTTTGAATGTGTAACCTTCTAGATTGAAAAAGCCACAGGTTAAGATTAAGCATGGGCCTTGGAAGCATTTGGCCCTGGATTGGTCCCAATTCTACCTCTTTACTATTTGCTTCACTTATAGCAACCATCTGAATTTCTAGTCGTCTCAGTTTCCTGTCTAGAAAATGTAGATAGTAATACCCACCTCACAGATTTGTTGAGAGCATTAAATGAGATAATGCATCTAAGGCTTTCATTGAATGGAGCTATTTTTATTAGTTAGAAAGTGAGGTGATTGTACTAGATGATTCTGAGATTTTCTTTTTTACAAAAATATAATTATAAGAATGTTTGACCATTTATTTAGTAGAAATTCTGCTGTGTGAAGACTTCTAACCAGTTTAAAGATATGAGAGACCCTTCCTCCACAGTATCTGTTTTTCACTAAGATAACCCAATCCATCTCTAAAGACCACATATCAACAAATGTTTGCAGACCACTGAGCCTAGTGTTGAAAGGACAAGGAGTAACAGAAGAAACTGAGCTGAATGTAAGCTTTCAATTGCTGTACTGGAACTTTCTGGTCACTCATGGAGTTATTACCCGCTGTGTCTAACCAAACAGCAAGGTAGTTGGAACACGGAGGTGACTCAGAGACAGAGAATTAGCCAGATAAGCTGTCACTAAAAATTGGAGCAGCATTTCCCATAGCATGTTTTCATTAAGAACATGTGGGAAAAACAATTGTTGGTTCCAATGAAATTGGAAAACTGCAAATCACCATATATAGCCAAATATAAGGCAAAAATGATTACAAACCATCTCTTTTTTTCCCCACAAAAAAAGTTGCAAAAACAGCTCTTCGACTAACATTACTATACAAACATTTTAATCACATTCTATAAAATAATTTTAATATATTGATTTTGAAATATGACTCCCCCCATTTATTGCTAAATGTATTCATGCTTCTTTGACATCAATGTTTTTGCTACTATCAAAGACAGTTTTTGAGCCACCAAAAGTTTCCCACAGACCATTTCCTTCCGTTTAAGTTGGCACACATGAAGTTGGCATCCTATTCACGGAGGATGCTGTCAGTGGCAATTTCACTTGGTCACAGATATCAATTCATGTAAGACAGTTTCAGACACTCCCCTTACAGGTTTTATTCATGATCCTTACAATGGTAAACACAAAGAGTACCCATTTTAGAGTGCCCTAAAAGGCTTGTTAACTATAATATTCAGAGCTAGGAATTGTGAGGTCAGCTTTCCAAGAATAATTACTAAGTCTGTGTTAAGAAAAATATTTTTAAACGATTCTTTCAGCTAACATTAGGTGGGCCTGTTTCTGACTAATGTCTTCCCACGTAGTACTTGGTTGTTCACAATAAAGTATTTGAGAAAGTACTCTGTTGCTGACAGATGAAATAAGGACTCAACTCTAAGGCAATTCCCTCACTTCTCAGAGATCATTTGAGAGCTAATAATTTAGTTTATATTTTAGCAAACATAGTATATCCCCTTCTTGGGGTCCATACACTTTAGCATATCACAAAAATTCTTAAAAGTACAATAGGAGTGAAAGAGTTAACTTTATATAATCCAGCAATTTCCAAAATTATTTAACTAGACATCCTTTGGAAAAGAGATTACCTATTCTAACATAAATTGGCTAAAATTTTCATTTACTCCTGATCTAGATTATATTTACAAATGTAATGATGATAATGGACTTAAGATACCCTAGACACAAAAATTAATGGGAAAAACCTAAGTAATGAGTGATAAGAAACCTGAGTGATTGAAAATATCCAACAAGTAGTTACACAATGCCTTTGAAAAACTAGAAAGAAAAATGGTATAGGTGGTGGTAGCAGTGAAGCAATGACCTAACTTCAAATAATTCATTGCCCATGACTGTAGGGAGCTTGTGCTCTGGCTGGGGAAGACAAACACAAAAAGCTACGCATTAATGTGTTGTAGACACTGCATTGTATAGAAGTTTATACAGTCCAGAGTACTGGGGATGGGATATATGCAGGAGGGACCAGTCAGTTCTACATGGGAAGTCAGATAAGGCTTCACAAGACATGGGGCCAAGCTCAGCCTTGGAAAATTGCACCAAAAATATATTTATATATGATATGAAAACAAATACCAGCTAAAGTGGAACTCCATCATTACATAGACTCTGATTTCCTGGGCACCATCAGGCCTTCTCCACCCCCAAATACCACCCCCACCCTGTTCTGCCCCCAAATATATACTGTGATAAGACTGAGGGTAATTCACAAAGGGGAAGGGGGAATACCTACCATTTAACTTAGGTTATCACATGTAGTTTTCACAACAGACCATTTGGGTAAGCTTTATCATGCCCATTTTATAGATGGAAAAACTAGGACTCTGGGGATATATCCAATTTGCAGAGTCATCACACAGAGGAAAGTAGCAAAGCTGAGATTTGAGCCTGGGCCGCTGACCTTTAAACTCTGGTACTTTGCACTGTCACCAAAGTAATAGAGGTAATAATTTTCCATTTCTATTTCCAAAATTATTAATGTGTCCATGTTACTCCCTAATTACTGTTTAGAAGTGGACATTGCATCTCTGGGCCAAATTTTTTTCATCCGTAAGAGAGAGTTAGTCTGGATGGGCTCCAGGATTCTTTCTGCCTTTCATATTCTATAATTCTACTTTGATTTTATAATTACAAAAAGAAAGATGCTAGTACAATCAATTTTTTACTAATTAATCTCTGTCATATCAAAATATTGAAAAGATCTGGAGTTGTTGGGCTTGTTTAATTCAAAGAAGAGAAAACTTTCAGAGGATGGAAGGGGTGGAGAGATGTAAAATATGGAAGATATAAAGCAACCTCAGATATTTTAAAAGATGCTACCACATGGAAGAGAAATTGGACTTAATCTTTTTGACCTCAAGGAGTGTAACTAGAACCATTGAGGGGAGATTCTGGACTTCCACACTTTTTCATAAACAGAACCCAACACATGAGACCAGAGTGACTTAGCCTCAGAGAGATAATTGGACCAGAAATTAAGATCATTTCTAATTCTAAGATTCTTTCATTCTGTAATAAACTGGCCTTCCACATTAGCCCTGTAGAGGAGATTCCATCCTTAAAGGTGTTTAGAACCATGGTTCTAAGTTATCAAACCATAACGAACCCTTCAGTCATCAATGAGTACATGAAAAAGATATGGTGATGGGATGAAAAGGGGGACATGAGACACCAAAATTCATTTTAGGAGACCCCATAGGCTCTGTCCCTTACAAAGACTGGCTCCTACCCTGTAACTTCCCTGGAGTCACCATGCTCAAAAGCAGGCTGGTTGTTTGTGCTGACTGTCACCTCTGGGCCACCCGAAGGACCTGACTGTCTCTCTCCTTTTTCAGATGTTCACTTCCACAATATTTGCTGTGATTGGATTTCTGGGTGCTGGCTACTCATTTGTCATCTCAGCCGTTTCAATCAACAAAGGTCCTAAATGTCTCATGGACAATGGCATGTGGGGCTACCCCTTCCACTCCGGGTAAGGTATACCTGCAGGGGCCACCTGTCACCCCTGGGGAATGGCCAGGTAACCTTCCCCAGGGGAGACACTGCTCATGTCTTGTCACCTTCATTTTACAAGTCCCAGGCAGGTTGTGGAGCAGGAGTTGTAAAGTGAAGTTGCACAAGATCTCACCTCTGATTATTCTTGACAGACACCAGGAGAAATAACTGAAAGAGGGCACCTCAGCTGGCCTGAGAGAAGATTTGTGGTGTTGTTACTCATATCAAACATTTATTAGCAGTCATATGAGGCAACTTATAATGTTACTAAACAGAAAGTAGTAGCTACTATTGAAAAACTTACACTAGAAAAAGAGGAGGATTAGTTACTAACAGAGCTCAGAGGCTTTCACTGATACCCCAAGAGGTCAACTGAACAATGTCTTAAGTGGCAAATTTAAAATGGCACTGAAAGCAATGGTGATTCTTCATAAGAGTTCATGTTAATGGAACTCGTTAAAATAATACTTCATATTTTCATGGTACTTTATAGTTGATAAAGAACTCTTTTTTGGTCCCTCTCCCCAAAAATTTATAATTATTTAATCTCCACAACAATCCAAAGCAGGCTTAATAAATTTGGCTTAATAAAAAGTCACACCATTAGTTGGGGGCAGAGGCAGGGTTCAGACCCATGCCTTCTGATTTCAAGTCTTCATCTTTTTGTATTATGCATCTTTCTGCCCCTAGACTGTACTGTCCAATGTAGTAGCCATATGTAGCTATTAAAAGTTAAATTCATTTAAGTGAAATTAAGTTAAAAATTCCTCGATCCCACAAGGCATATTTCAAGTACTCAGTAGCTGCATGTGTCTAGTAGCAAACTGTGTTGAATGTCGCAGATCTTGGATACCTCCCTCATCCCAGACAGTATACTAGACAGTGCAGCATGAGATTCCAACTTCCAGGAGGGCGTGGATGTGCAGGGGGTCAGGAGAGATGTTTGTTGGGTCCCCCTATACATGGAGGATGGCTCCATGTGAGACACTAATTTATTAACTCACACCCCTATTTATTAATTTACAGTGATAGCCCAAAGAACCTCAAGAGCAGGCTTCAGATGGTGGAGATGGAAGGTTCTGATTCTGTTATGATATGTTCTGATATGATATGAAGGTTCTCAGTCAGCTCATAAGTGTTTCATGTCAAATACCCCCAACACACTCTGTAGTTAAGTAAGTTCTCTAACATCCTCATATCACCTGCAGAGATTCCCACAGGTATTGATTTTATGGGGTGTGTCTCACTGCAGCCTTTTTGCTCCCTGGCAGCTTTCATCTTACCAGACACCGCTTGGGCCCTCTTGCTATGGGGTTGGCTTATGTGACCATAGAAATCAGACACTAGAAGGCAGACCCGTCTCCTCAGGTTCTTTGGATGGCTCACTCTCTCCCACGTTGGGGTGTGTCTGTGAAGCCACAGATTATATCTTCTTTCAAGGACCCTTCTCTTCATATTTCCATCAACAGCATCAGTGCATTACTAAACATATTTTTCTATTTTCTCTTACGTGAATGATAGCACCCTTGATGAACTTAAAGTCAGTTAGAATAAATCTATGTCCATCACAAAGGAGGAAGAAATGCCACAGAAGCTAAGTACCACTCCTCAGCAGGACAATGGTGTCCTATGTTGTGACATGAGGTCTAAGAGCCACCCCAGGCACACTCACGCCCTGCTTGGGATGGAATGGCACCAATACCCAAGGTTAGGAGACTGACTGCTAGTCTGTGGGCCACTTCACGAAATGCCAACTTGGGAGAAGGAGAGGATACCACTTTGCAAAGCACTCTGTTTATCCTTCTGATGAAGCAAATTTTCATTTCCATTCTAGCCATTTATTGCACATTACTCTGTGGAAGATACTTCCATATATGTTATTTTATCCACTTCTCTCAACAACTCACCCAGCCATTAACTGGTATCAGATTAGAAAGGCTGAAGAATAGCAATAGAATTGAGCCAGCTTTGCAGGCAAGTGGGAGCATGGCAGAACTCCCCACCCCCTCTGTTCACTGCATGGCTTTGACAGCTGCTGGGGAAAAAGGTTTGACCACCTAGACATCTGCACAGTGGCTTCTAACTATAATATGATCAAAGAGCACTGAGTAGGGCTTTCTTACAAAACCAGGTATACTATATTTTGCAGGTGACTTGTAAGGTATTTAAGTGTAACTTTGAGCAGCGATTGTTTTTTCCCTCATGTGCTGCCTTTAGAATTTAGTCCCACATAGGGGACAAGTGTGCTCTCTGTGCAAGGTGTGAACTGTGGCACAACCAGTACAGGAAGGGCTTTCAGGAGGATGGGTCCAGGTGGGTGTGCCTCACTGCAGCCCCTTGCCACCTGGAGGGCTGTCCTCAGCACTCCGCTGCCCCCTCCATTGGCATCCTATCTTCTGAGACAAACTCACATTCCTTCAAGACGTCGTCTCCCACCACCGACTCCTACCTCCCCTCCGCCTATGGAGGTTCATCTTGAGTTTCTTATAACAATAATTGAAGCCTGTGTTGCCTGGTGTTTTCCAGTTAACAGAGTGCTTTCACCCACCGTGTTTCATTTGAGCCTTACCAGAGGCTTGTGCAGCAAGTAATTCTCCTTCAGAAGTAAGACAGCCGAGGCCCAGAGAGGACAAGCGACTTGCCCGAAGGAATGCTCTTTCATTAATGACTGGAGCTTGAGTCCTAGTTTTCTGACTCCAAGACACAGTGCTCTTTCCGAAACACAATTTATGTTGATCATTATCTGCTTTTTTATAAATTCCATCCAGCCGAGCTGAGGGGCCTCTGTCTCCACTCTTTTTACAATTCCGTGAACTTTTGTTACCCACTGGATCCCAGTGTATAAGCATTTCGGCCGTTGTCATTGTAGCTGCAAACCGGCCACAGATACACAGCCGTGTAGTGAGTAGGAAGGATTCATCACATGTCTGAGCCCAAGCAGAAGGACAGAGGACAGCTGTCACCCCGTCCTCATCGCCACCTGCAGGGGCGGCCACTGTTCCTGCTGCTGCGTCTTCCTTCCCCTCTTCCTTCATCTCCTTCTCTTTCTTAATGATGAAGGGCTAAGTGGTTTCGCATGCATTATCTCACCTAATCCTCCTCATAAATCTGAGAAGAATTCTTATCCCTAAAATAGGAAAATGAAATTCCAAAAGGTTCATTTGTCCAGGGCTACACAGCTAGTAAGTAGTAGAAGAATAATTAAAAATAAACAAAAACATGGCTAGTACCTACTTTGTGCCGAAGCCTGACCCAAACTTGGAGCCAAGAAGGCTAGACAGGGTCCTTGCCCGGATGATGCCACCGCTGTTGAGGGGACCCTCAGAGCACAGAGAAGGACAGAACGGAGAAGGGCAGGGAAACCCCTCGGCAGGGACATGTGCTGGTGGTGGCAGATGAGCAGAAGTGCGCCTCCCCGGGCAGGAGGGGGAGCACGCTTCAGGCAGAGAAGTGAGCAAGTCCCGAGGCACGCACCAAAAGGCCCAACACGCTCAGAGAAAGTCAGTGAGCAGCGCAGCCTCAAGCGCAGGGTGAACTTGGAGAGAGGAGCAGCAGGGGTCCCCAGGTGAGGGGCTGTGACTGAGAGGCAGGCCAGACCTTCGGACATCAGGGACCACCGGGCATGCCACGACCACTTGGGATTTCCAGGACGATCACAGTGGTAGCGATGTAGAGGACAAAAAAATGTGCTCAGCAACCGGGGAGAGAGAAAAGTAGGAGATTGGAGAGCTAGTCCAGATAAGATCGTGAGCATCTGCAAGGCAGTGGGCTTGGGAGAAGCAGACTGCTAAGAAGGACACACATTTCAGAGACTATCCGACATGGAGTCATCAGGACTAGGCATGAGGAGAAAGGGGGAGGGTCATCCAGGCGACTCTGAGATTTCCAGTTTAGGGCACAAAATCCAGGGTGCTCAGTGCCATAGAATTGAGTACTGTTTTCCTCAGAAAGGTCTGTTGGAAATCGTATTAAAAGAGCAAAGACAGTTAACACTTTTCTGTCCTGAGAACCACTAATGAAGCAGCCTAGAAGGAAAAAGAAACGTGGGACGTTTTGAGATCCGCCCCCTTGGCTCCCTTTGAAGCAGGACCTCCCATCCAAGGCCATCCTCTCCGAGCCAGTCGGCTGCCTCTCCCTTGACCCTGAAACTGCTGAAAAGGGAAGCAGCCCGCACAGGGCATGACGACAGCTGTGGGAGGGAGAGGCAGAGGAAGGACCAGGGACATGCAGCAGTGGGGGTGGGCAGGACGGGATCATAGCCTTGCACAGCGCTCCCAGGTCCAGCTGCAGCCCGCGCTGGCTCCCCAGGGAGGAGTCTGGTGTTGTGGAGAGCACCCCCACACCAAGACACAGCTGCAGGCAGTAAGTGCTCCACCTGGACTTCCCATTAGGACCAACTGCATTTGCACCTCAAAGACTACTTATTGCAAGAACCGCATGAGCTGCTTATGAACACAGTCCCTAGAACTGAGAGCCATGTCGCCAACAGGGTGAGATGGGATTGCGCCATGGTTCCCAGCCTTCATGAAGCATGAAGCACAGATGCTAAGGACTGGCTTTGCCCTTGGCCTGATGGACTTAGGGTCCAGTCACACCTCTGCCCACACCAGTGGTGTGATCTTGGTGATGTATTCACCTCTCAGCTCTTCCTCTGTCAAGTAAGGGTAATAGCAAGATCTACCTCGCAGGTTCAGGTGAGAATGAGATCACGATGTGCATGAAGCACATGGCAAAATTACTGCCACCTACTGCTTGCTAAACGTCAGCCTTATTTATTCATTTTTATGAACATAACTCATTACTGTGAATGGAATTCACTATCATGCATTAGAATTTCTAAGATGCCCTGCTTGTAAAATGATTTTGTGATTTAATACTAATCTTTCAATCAGTCACATGAAGGTTGCAAGAGAATAATCTCTTTATCATGGTATAGATAAACCTTGATTGACATATTATTATAGATGTATTGTGTAAGTCAAATTTCAAAAACATATGATATTTCAAATGTACTAAAAGGATATAATTATTCAAATAGAGGGAGTCTGTGTAAAGGTTAAGAGCATTAGGTTTGGAGTCAGACCAAAGATCAAATCTAGGTACTTGCAGTTAGTAACCTCAATGTTTTCATGGGTGAATGGGTCTAAGTTCATTCATTCAGTGAATATCTCCTGGAGGCTACTCTGTGCGGGGCATTGTTCAAGTAAAGTAGCACCTCCTTGTAGGATTGGGAAGGATTATGTAAAGCAGCTAGCTCAGGGCACAGCACGTGGGCAGGACCAGTACATGATACCTGCTGTTAATTCCTGAACACTCCTTGCCCTGGAACAGGGGACAGAGACAGCAGGCAAAGCCTCTGCCCTTGAGGTGTATGGTCCTGAAGAGAACACAGACATATGGACAGACTTTGGCAGCACAGGGGCCTATGTGCTCTGTACCAACTTGCTGGGAAGTGCAGAAGGGGCACTAAAGCCAGCTGAGGGCAGGAGAGGCACCAGAGAGTCTGTCCCGGAGTGGGTGGCCCCAGAACTAGCTGGGCAGAGGGCCAGGCAAAGCTTTGTGGCCCCCCTGCACCTTCCTTCTGCTGCCTTTGTTGCTGGCAAGAAGTGAGTTTCATGAAATCCATGGCCTTCTTCTCTGATGGGGATGGAATTACTGCAGCTCAAGTGCAAATGCCCTTCACAATAAGGGGATGCTCTGAAACTCCAGTGAAGTGGACGTACATGGCCGCTCAGTCTGTTGCCTCATAGAATGTGGAAACGTGATTAGCTACTTGGGCCATGAATAACTAGGGTGCCCTCTCACCTGGAGTTGTGAGAGTTTGTGGAGAGAGAAGGGTCTGGAATGGCTCTCCAGGGTGGTGTGTGGGGATTGAGGCATCTGCAGGAGTGGAGGTGTTCTGAGAAGGTATCTCCACACACCCGAACTCAATCCTTGCTCCCAAGTTCTCTGTGAGCATTTCACCAATCTCACCATGAAGAGGTGCTGTTGTCTCATGTCTGCACAAACTATTCAGAAGATGGAGACTGCCAATTATTTCATCTGAGAATTTTTCTTTAGAAAATGTGCCAGGAAAATCTCGTCTTTCTATATATGCATCAAGTTTAGAAATTATATAATGACAAAACTACATGGAAACATGCAGAACACAAAGATGAGTGTTTAATAAATAGTAAGTACTGAAAAGAAGTTGTATGTACTCCATAAGGTGTGTTATTGCAGTGAATTCTCACGATTGTTAGGTTGTTCTCAGCAATGGGTGCTAAGAGGGGGAGGGAAAATAACCTGTATGAGGAAAACAGCTAGGATGTTCTCTTCGGGACTGTACATCCAGATCCTTCTGAACCCAAAATACCAGGCTTTTCCTTTAGACCAGATTGCTCACATTAAATAAAATAATAATAATCTTATGCTAGACCCTGTGCTAAGCACGTTACTTGTATTAACTCACTTAATCCTTGTAATAACCCTATGATTTGATAGATAATGTTACTCCCAGTTCACAGACAAGTACACAAGGCATACAAGTAGTGAGCAGCTAGAATCTGTGCTCTTACAGAAAGGTGAATCAATAATATAAAGTGTTTTATTTTTAAATCAAGAGCAAAATTTGCTTCTTTATTCCTTCTTTTCTATTAAACCCCAGGGCATCTTCCATCATTTCAAATATATTTCAGAATCTTAATACAGAATGTACTTAAAATACATGTGTACTGATTCCCTTGAGAATTCATCAAAAACAGGGGTTACCAAAAAAATCTGAAACAATAATGTGGATGTTAATTTAGTAACCAAATGGCAAGTTTCCCATCGAGGCCTTGAAAGGATAGTGGATGCCTAAAGAAGATGGAGAGACCGATCTGTGGCCCTAAGAACGTGAGAAGAAATTATATAATAATATAAAAACAGAATTTACCCACTTCACTCTCATTTTTGTCTTAAAGATAGCATACTTGACATTTCTCCTTTGAGGCACAATGAATTTATGTTGCAGTGGACTCCTGATATGTACATTTAATAAACATATTGCAGTTTCTCTTATTTCATAGTTTTTGTTACATGTGTATTAAGGCAGCAGATTATGTCTTCCTTTTAGTTAATTAAATCTTTTGTATGTGGAATCCCTACATGTTAACCAAAATACAGCCAAGTCAAATTCACAGTTAGAGCTGCTCTAACTGGACAAAATTCACAATTTGGCTAGCATCAGGTCTTAAAGAAACCTAGCTCTTCCCTTTAAGTATATGACCCAATTGTAGTGTACATAACTTCAGATGGTCACTAGACTTGACAGATAATTTGTCAAGGGTCCAAATGTTCCCTGATGGCAATAGATAGGAAAAAGCCCAAGAACATTTGAGAGATTCTACTCATGGAGATTCATTTTCCTGGCCCCATAATAGATACTGGATTTACCCATCTCCTTGGTCAGCTCACAAAATCACTCTGTCACTTAGTAGCTGTGTGACCTTGGGATCACTTAACATCTCTGTGCCTTAATGCCCTTAGTTGTGAAATAGAAAAAAAGAACTATAAGGTTTCTATGAGAAATAAACAAGTGAAAATTTGGGAAATACATAGAACAGGGTCTGGCACATAGTATGTACTCAATAAAGATGTTAGGTTTGTATTTTAAAGTGTTGTTATGGGATATTTTTCGTATGGAGCTTTCATTTTGGATGGAAAATAATGCTTTAACAAGATCATTATGGAGACTTTCTACTCTAGGGTATTGTACACTTTCTACAAATGTTCCCTTTCTTCTTCATGTCCCCGACAGGGATTACCTCAACGATGAAGCCTTATGGGTCAAGTGCCGGGATCCTGTCAATGTGGTTCCCTGGAATCTGACCCTCTTCTCCATCCTGCTGGTCATAGGAGTGATCCAGATGCTTCTCTGTGCCATCCAGGTGGTCAACGGCCTCCTGGGAACCCTGTGTGGAGACTGCCAGTGTTGTGGCTGCTGCGGAGTAAGTGGAGTCTTTGTCCTTTCTTCTCAGCATGCAGGAGGCCACGTCAGACTACCAGCACTAGGTAGCAGCTGCAGAGAACCAGAGGCAGGCTGGGAAGTCCAGGCCATGGTCCCTATCAGCTCAGGGAGACAGTGACATTGTATCACTGGAACCCAGTTCTGCTCTCTGTGCATGTTCACACACCCAGGCTGAAGATGGCCAAAGCTTCCAGTCTCACACCCAGTGACTGTGAATGTGAGGCAAAGGACTCCATATACACACAGAAGAGTACAATAATGTTTATGTGAAGGTCCCTAGAAGTGGGCATTTGTCTTATGCACATATTGTCAACAATGACATGTGGTCTGGCCCAAAATGTTCTCACTATTTCCTAAGTAGATCTAGACAATAGGTCAAACTTTCCAAGCAACCTATGAACATGCTTCAGAATATTTTCTTTTTCCTGGAAAAGAACAAACATACTAGTGCAAAACCTGTATTTTAACGATATTCCTGATACAGAAGAGAGAAATAGTTCCTAAGTGGGTAGAAAAAAAAAACAAAGGAAATCACTGAGGACTTAGTCTCCAAACATGATTGTAAATTATCAACAGCAATATAAAAAAAAAGCAAACCTATGGGCTGTAAGAAAATGTGATTTTTTTCAACTAACAACCAAACTAGATCAGGCAATTATTCATACACACACACACAGTTATTGAAAAACACTAATGTATGAGGAAAAAAATTTAACAGAACTCAAGAGTTCCCTAATTGGGGAATTATGTAAATAAATATAAGTAAAGGTCAACCTATATAATATAACATGCTCCAATCTCAAATGATTCAAATAATTTTTTTAAAATTTCTAACAAGCGTTATATGCCTATACTTCAAAAATTCGGTGTGTATATGAGTATGCACACAGAAATATAAGCGTATTTAGTTGGAAAATCTGCATCCTGCCCTGGTCTTCTGTTCATCCATTTCCCCAGCTCTCCACTCGGGGAAGTTTCCATAATTTCTTATATATCCTCCCAGAGTTTCTTTTTTATTGCTTTCATTTCGCTTTCCTTCCTTCTTCCTTGTTCTCCAACTTTTTATTTGGAAAACTTCAAACCTATATAACATTTAAAAGAACAGTATATTGAATGCCTACATGTTTCCACCTAGATCCACAAATTGTTAATATTTGCTCTCTCTCTTTCTCAACCATTGGAAAGTAGTTTGTAGACATCACGAAATTTCAGTACTGAGTACTTCAGTGTACATGAGAGCTGCATTAAAAACAAAATCAGTCTGCTGAGGGTTCCTTTCTTGTAGGCAGCTTGCCTCTCATACAGGGGTCAGCACCCCTCCCGCGGGGGGACACTGTGGGAAGCCAGACTCTTGGCCTCGGTCTGCGACCCAAGCGAGCTGCCTAACTTCTCACAGTCTTAGTTGGCCCAACCGCCTTTTGCCAAACTACAGAAAGTGTGCAGATCAACGTCAATCCATTCAGGCAGAAAATATTTAATGAGAGGTTCCTGAGCCTGGCACAGTCCTTAAATGAGGTAATAAATGGAAACGGGCCATAAAATACAAGTTAACAGACCTGGGTTGGATGCCAGCTTTGTGGTCTTGACCACGTAGGTGCCCTCCACTGCTTCTCTGTCTATAAAATGTGGTTATTAAACTTACTTCCTAAGGTTGCTGACTGAGTGTCTAACTTGGACTGATAAATATGCATCCATTTCAGCAATTAGAAGGCTCAGCACATTGTATTAGTTATTATTTCCTGGGAGTATGAAAATTGGTGTGGCAGTGTAGTTTTGAGGGAAAGAGCACAGTCTCTGGGCTCATCTTGCCCAGGTTCAGGTCCCTGCTCCTCTGCTAATTAGCTATGGCTTTGCTGCATACCTTGGGCTCTCTGTGCCTCTTATCAAAATTATTTGTAATAATAAGTGATGTCAAATAAAACAAAGCTTCAACTCCCACGACTAAACACAGGTAAGTGACAGATTAAAGCCCTGAAACAAAGTCAGAAAAATACACAAAATATTCAATAGGTAACTAATAAGGGGCAAAAGTAATTGGGAATAAGAGGGTGATGGGGAGGGAAAAGGAAGGGTGAAGAAACAAATCAAAGAATGATGTGATAATTAACTTTTTCTACCTTCTAGGGAGATGGACCAGTTTAAACCTCTGTGATGAGCTGCTCTAACTGGACAGCGACAGCGTATAGGAAGAGACATTGAGTTTATTCTCCTCTTTTTGGGGTTGTCAGTTCCTGTCTGCTTCCTAACTCACAAAGCTGAGGGAGGGCAGTTATTCCTCCTCCTTTCTGAACAGCTTAGCTCAATCTAGAATTTTATGTTACTAACAAATAAAAAATATAGTTTAGCCACTTAAGTTAGATTGATAAATCTTTCAAATTAGCTTCCTTTTAGAATTGAAGAGCATGTTCCAAGCAAATTTTTCATAATTTCTTCCTTAAGAATGAAAAATGTGCAAAATCATATGTACTGCCACACCGCTTGTTTGTATATAGAGATGTTTATATCCTTGTAAGTCCTATATAATTCAAAGGAGGAAAGCATGTTTAGAATGAGAAACTAAGACCAATTTTTTTTCCATGTTTATGGGAAAAGAGAATGACTGATGTATCCTAAATAATTTTTACTTAGTGTCTTTTTGGCTAACATGTTTGAATTACTTACAACTAGTCTTTTAAACCTGTTACCATTTGCAAGTTTTCCTTTTGTATACTAAATTAAAATAATAATTCAGAGGTAATATAATAAAGTTTGTTTTGATAGGGAGGGGCCAAAGATTGAATGAATAACACCCTTTTTTCATCTTTTCTACAAATGCTTCCTCTGATCAAACAAAAAACCAGTATGTTTTAAAAAGTGATTTGGGTAATAATTTTGTTAGCCCATGGCCCAGGATTAAGGTAATAGGTTTTATTAATACTATGTGTTATATTAAGACATTAACTTAGGTTTTATAAGTCAGGTACTAATAAGGAGTCAAGTCCATGCTGTTGATTTGAATTCAAATCCCAATGCCCCACATACCCACTAGGGGATCCTGGCAAAGTTACTTTCTAAATCTGAATTTCCCCATCTGTGAAAGGACTGTTGAAAGGCAATCAATCATCTAACACATTCTGAAGTCTCCCAGGAGCAAAGCAAAGAGGCCTGTGGAATTGTCAACATGACTGATGTACATTCAGAGGATCTCAGAGGGGGGTACAAGCCAGAGGCCCACCCCTGTATGACGAGGCTGATTGATAGGCTGCACTGGGCAGGTGAGGCCACTGAAAACTAGATTCCTCCTAGTCATCAGTGAAGCTGTTAACAATCACCTACTGAGCACCGGCCTCCAGGGTCTAGGTACTGAAGACCACAACTTACACGCTGTGATTTTTCCCTCATTATGACGAGAACTGTGAGATCACAGTCACATCTGGTACTAACAGGCAGAAGGAAGAAAGGCAGGCAGATAAGCACTGACGATCTCATCAAGGAAACTATAAATACACACACATGCATGCATACACACACACACACATGAATACACAAACACACACACGCACACACAGGGTGTTTCAAGTCAGTGTAGGTCATTGGTTATCAAACATGGCTGATCATCACACTCACCCAGGCACCTATGAAATGTTTCAAAACTGTGATGATTCCTGAGCCCCATCCTAGACCTACTTCATCTGAAAATCTAGGCATGAGGCATGGACGTTTGTCTTATGTCTGTTACTTAGTTTTCAAAGCTCACCAGGTGAGACGAAAACCCAGCCAGTTTGAGCAACCATTGGCTTAGACCACAGACTGGCAGGCACCAGGATGAAATGAGTCAGACTTTATTACAGCCTTTTGGGAACTCATGCTCTACTGATTAATATCAATACCATGTAGTACGTGCTAAATCCTGAAGGGTGACACAGGTAATGATGTAGAGGTTCAGAGACAACAGGCCATTAGGACTGATTCACTTACCAA